ACCCTGAACCCTTCTTGGTTCTGCCAGTGTTTAGAGAATTTAAGCCTTAAATAATTCCTATTGAAGCGGCCACACTTCACGCTCACATAGGTGACCTCCTATTAAGAGTATTCTGCCCTACTTCACTTGACTTAATCAAGATATATGAATGATTAAAAGATTATCTTAACTTCTTGCAACTCTGCAGAAAGCACTTTAATATCATAGGAATGAGTCAGGAAATTATTTTCCTAAGTGTTTCGTGGAATCCTCATAACTTAGTTTTCCCTTTGAACCAAGATCTTGGGATCTTCAGTCAACAAGGTAGGGTTACCATTACAAGGACTCTAACGTAGTAGGCTTTACCTCATTCCCTTCGATATGCAGTATTCTTATCTCTCTTAGTAAATCTCTTTAAAGGTACCACGAGTTTACACCATTGAGATCAACTGCTTAATGATATTATGTCTATGACTTATACGTCTAGACCTACCATTACATGTGACTTAGTATCTTATCAATTATTGCTCGCCAACGATCGATTTATTTGATAGATTCAAATTATCGTCACCAAGAAATCTTCCCATGAAGCTATATGCCTCATTAGCTTTATAAATTTCCAAACACGGTTGGAGGATTTCTATCAAACACTACACTAGTCAATCACTTTTACTAGTGGATTTCAGAATCATGGGTATTCAATATCATCATTGAAACATTACCATGCATTTGAACTTTATGAACATTATTCATATATTTCAATTGTTCTTGCATGTCTAAACAAACGCCATAATCAGTTTTACAACCCATTTCATCCACTTTAGACTTAGTATATATCATCCTTATAATTAGTATAAGGGTTTTCTATCTTTCTACCTTCATAGATATCGTTCTGTGATTATGAGATAGAAGCAGATGTAACTGTTAAATTGAGTTACCCCCACAATTTCTCAATTAAGAATACATATGCAATCTAGTAATGTTGCATCCACAAGTTTTGAACTTTCCATTTTAGGATCACAAACATTAAGTTTAACCCCCTACATTCTTAGGTTATACTTGAACTTAGAGTTCATCAACTATTAGTTCAATTCATAATATTCGTATCAAGTGCTTTGTGAAAGTCTATGTACTTTCAAAGTAGTGGTTGTCAACTTGCATATAACGTACTTCAATCTAATTAATTTTGATTATCCAAATAAATAAAAGCCATCACATGGACCAACAATGCTTTCAAAACATACACCAACTTAGTTGATTTCATGATTGAAATCAAATTCAACAATAAAGAAGGCTAAGCATTGTAATTTCTTCAAACATATGCAACTTATCATATTTGTGACATTTCATATGTTAGTTTCATTTCATGTCAAATAATAAGGTACATATTCATCTTATTCACCATATTCAAACTTAAACGAACGAATCAACCATAGGTTGAAAAGTTGTGTTCTCAAGAGACACAACCTTATAAAAGGACTTACTTCTTGAAATAATCTCTATGAAGAGACATATCCATAGGAAAATAATTATATCAAAAGTTATGATTTCTCATATGAAAGGACGCACATTTTCATCTAAATTGATCTTAGAATATTTCATAATATTCTACATAATTTTTCACCAATTCCAAGTAATCAAATTAGGACAAATTACATTTTGTCATATTCTTATAGAAATATAATTTTGCATAAAAGTCATCTCACTTAATCCCATAGGATTAAATGAGGCTATCAACATTAATCAAAGTTAGTATAATTTCAACAAGATGTGAAAATTTAACCAACTAATTTACCATGCCATTTTCATATTCCAATCAAAGGAATCGTCATGAAAGTTCATATACTTTCATCAAATAATTGGCATCCTTATATGTCCAATGATTAGGAATAATTTCCTTATTTCCATCCATTCATTATTGGACTCGAGTTATTTTTAACGATATCCAATTCATTATGGACAAAGTGCAGGAATAGCAACATATATTCCAAATATTTATACATTCATTTGTATAAGTTTATTCTATAAAATGTCTCATGAAGGAGGTCCAAGTATTTCCATATTTTGTTGCCACTTTACATAGCAAGACAAATAAAATCATGCTGCACAATTCCGAATGGATCACGCCATATTAACTGTTTTTAACATGAGAAGCCCATCATTTGAATTATCAACAAGTGCATATATTTATTCAGGCAAAGTGGAGTGTATTATGTAATAATCGATAATGGACAGGACACACAGGTCCCTTTGCATCACCAATCATCAGATGCATTTGTACAATAATGAACCAATTATTATGCAGCCATGTGGGTAAAAAACTTAGGTAATTACCCACTTACATGTGAAATTGGATTTGGAAAATACAACCAATAGGAATGCACAAATCTATTAGTCGTATTGTCAGTTATTTTGAATGGGCAACTTACCAAATTTCCACATGCATTTAACGGTCAAAAAATGTGCTCTTTCATTAAACTATAATAAAAGCATATACACACTGGTTCATGGAAGAATGCATATCTCCATGGGCGAATGAAGATTCAAATAGCCACCATTTAATATTTTTCATCAATATGAGTGCACAAACCAAATTTTTAAGTTTACAAATTTGCTTGCACAATTCCAGAATACATACCATAGTTTATGGAATCAATTGTATGTCAAGCAAAGATTTCACAATACAACTTCAGAACGTGAATATAAACGCACGAGAAAGATCACACAAAGTTCATCTTAAGATTGTTGGGAAATTTACACTAATTACGTGCATATTATATTCACAAAAGCATACCGGTTATTTGCGTGAAGTCGAAACGTAATTTCGACTTACCGAAATAGGATTTAAGAAGCAAAATATAAAAGTTACCGAATCTGAATGCATAGATATGGATTCATCCCTTTCGATTCTTGAACGAAAGCAAATTATTCTTTTGATCAAACCTTGCAACATAAACATGTAAATAAATGTAAATAATTTCCCGAAATCAAAAGATAATCAAAAGAAATCAGAAAATTGTAGGAAGAAAGATGCAAGTGATGAATTTTTGGTCGAAGCAAGTGTTTGATACTTGGTCCTTAAGATGAATTTGCTCCGCATCGGTGCTAACGATTTTTCGACAATCATCTCCCAAGATACAACGATCACGTCAAGTCATAGGAACACTCTAAATGACTTCGACTAGCGAACTCGAACAAAATTCTCTCTCTACCAAGGAAATGCATGAAAATGCAATGAAATTAGAAAGGAGAGAATTGTAAGAGGAGAATGAATGCTCAATGTAATTGGTGTACCCAAAATCATGCTCATAGAGTTCTATTTATAGATGTAGAAAATGTGCAAATAAAGTACTGTGGGCCAAAACATACATTCTTTCAAAAAGTTGAAACACTTGGCCAAAACCTGCATCATTCCGAAAAGTTACAACACTTCATTTCTTCCAAATTTGGTCCGCAATTTCTTATTCATCCGGAATTGGTTTCGAAATTTCAAATATACCACGACGATCTACTCGACGAGTAGAATAAGTTGGTCTATTTACTTTTGTAATTTGACCACCAGATCAAGTTCGAATATTTGGTCGAAGTTGACACTTAGTCACATCTTTTAAATTTTTCACTTTTACACACCTTTTCATTTTCCAATTTTTAGTTAATTATTTGAATCAATTCCTACAAACAAAGATGTACTTATCCATGTATGGGGGACCCGGACCAAAATTAGGTTTGGACCATTTACGTGTGAAAATAACATTAATATATAGAAATTAAGGCTTAGTCACTAATAGTGGTAAAGTCGAAATTGATTTTACCATTACCAAGTCATGACTGAAAGTTACATTTCACAGGTTTTGTTATGTATGAAAGTAACAGGTTGCTTTATTTAATAGACAAAAATGTTGGATTATGACAGGTTGGTATCGAAAATATAGACAAGATCTTGTTATGTACTTAATGAGTAAAAGAGTTGCATCCACTAATATTAAAATATTTGTCATATTTGATGCGCAATGTTGTACCGTCGAACATATTACAAATGTCCCTACTTTTTTCATTTTTTGTTCAATAATAAAACTCAGTTTAAAACCTTTTTTTTTTTTTTTTTTTAATAAATATATGTTATCTCTCTTTAAAGTGTTCAAAGATTCTTAAGATTTCAAATTTGTCAAACTAGGAATAAATTAAGGAGAATTTCTAATCAATTCACACACATCTCTACTCTTTTGTGTATGAATTTCAAAGCATCTAGTTGTTCACGTAGGGTAAAAAAGCACTCTATTTGCACATAACTAATGATTTAACGATCAAATGATTATTTCCATCACAAAAGGACATTTGCAAAAGTTTGAGACCAAGGAGCTAAAAATAAATAAGTTTGGGACAGCGTTGTCATAATCTTCAAATGTTCGAAAATTCGCGTACAATTTATCAATGGTCATCCAACTTAACACTTTAATGTCACCATTATTATCCAATTTTATATTTAGTGTTATCATTGTCACTCAATTTGATTTTATTTCACCATGATCACCAAATTTCATATAACGTTTCACTATAATCACTCATTTTCCTTTCACTCTTTTTAATAATTTCAAAAAGAGGGTGGTAACTTTGTATTATATATAAAATAGTTTTTAGTGAAAATGATGAAAAAAAATTGGGAACCATGATGAAAGGTTATCAGCATGTTTGGGAGTGATTTTTTTGTCCAAAAAATTGATTTTTTGACCGTTATTTTACTAATTCAACCGTCATATTTGACTTCTTCTCTCATGGTGGACCACACTTTTCTCATAACGGTCAAAAAATCAATTCTCAAAATCACTCCCAAACAAACTCATATGAAATTTGGTAGCTATGGTTAAATAAAATTAAGTTGAGTGATCATGGTAAAACTAAATATAAAGTTGAATGATCACCACAAAACAAAATCAAGTTAATTGAGTTGATACTAATATAAGGTACGATGGACATTCGTGGATTTATTTAACACAATCTTCAAATGTTCGATGATCCAGGAGCATTTTACCTAAAAGAATATTTGACTGGCCAGAAAATTGATTTTTTAGCATTAATATTTACTTCCTTTTCATTTTGTTACAAGCAAGAAATTGGACTGGGTCCGGATAGAACTTCGTGCATCCTTTTGGGTACTGAAATTCGTTTCTGGCGGCAAAGCGACCGAATGAAATACTGGGGAATTTAGCGAAAAAAATCGGAGAAATGGCGAACAAGCTCATAAGTCAAATGGGTCTTCCCAAATCAATTGCCAACGTTTTTGCTGCTCGTAGTATCATCACCGCCAAGGTGCCACTTCACCTATATTTGCCGGCAGACAAATCAAACTATATATATATTTTAAATTTTTTATAGCAATAAAATGCTAACTTCTTTACTGATTCTTCTTCTTCTTCTTCTTCTTCTTCTACTTCCTGATTGTCATTATATTCAGCCAAGTCTTCTTCTATTTGTTTTGTTTGAGGAAGACTAGTTTATTCAAGTAATTTCTGGGTTGTCCTTTTATTCGGGTTAATTGTATTATTGATTTTATTTTATTTCAGCTGTAATATCATTGCTAATTACTATTTTTTTACTATAATGCGGAATTAGTTGAAATTTAATTGTACATTTTATATTTATGAAACATTCATGTCATTTTTATTTTTTTATCTTGAAATTGTTGGATAAAGTGTGGTTCTGTTTTGCAAACAATTCTCTGGAAAATTCCAAGCTGTTGTATCTTCAATTTTTGCCATGTGTTGTTGAGCCATGTTCCTATGTATTGAGCAAGTAAAATTTCACATAGGAATGGGCAATCTTTGGCCAAGTGGGTGAGAGCATTGAGAGAGGAAGTGTTTACGGGAAGTCAGCCTTAGAGAAATTCGTAGGCCTCATATTATTTCAGGAGAGGCTTCCAGGAAGCGAGTGGAGAAAGTTTATTTTTGGATTAGATAAGGTGTAAGGTTTGAATTTGGGAATTAGGCACCATCTAGTTTGTAGTCGTACAGATATTTCTTTCAAAGGCAGTGAATGAAAATCTCTTTGTTAATGTATGTCATCTTTGGCTGAGCTAAGTAATTTTTGGGCGCATTCGGACTTTATTTTTCACTTAAATCATATCTTATTTCATTAAATTGCTGGTGTGCGGTGTGTAAATTGGATTCAGTGTCTTCTTGTTTTCACTGAGCCCAACAAGCAGTATAAGAGTAACAGTTGTCGCCCAAGGCGGAGATCTGGTTTAGCAGCATGCCACTACTGCATTTTTGAGCTCTTGGTTCAATGTTTCAGAAGGAGAGAATTATTGTTGATGTCGTGTAAATTTTACACCTTAATGGATGGAAGTTGACTGCCCTGAAGGGGTACAGACAATCTGAGACATGGGTGGGTGAAGAGAAGTATTTTTCGGAGATGATAAAAGGTGCACAGGGGCGTTGGGCCTGGGTTTGGGAATTAAACATCTAATGGATTTATACTTGGATGTATACTTTCTCTCATGGTGAAAGAACAGAAATCCCTGAGGACAGCCATTTTTACTGAACTAACTCATTTTTGTGGATGCAAATGTCTGCATTTTTATGTTGCTTTTAATCTCCCGTTTAGTTACTATTGCGGTGTTTAGATTGGGTTTTGATTGCAACTCAGTAGAGATTTTTCTACATAATCTTAAAGGAGCTGTGAATTTAATATGCAACTTGTCTGCTTTTAGGATGCATTATCATTAACTGAATTTGAGTTGATGGAGTTGTTAGATGTGGGATTGGCTGAAGTAACATTGGCACTGGCTCATATCAGTGAAATTTCAAGTCCGCCATATCAAACTGTAAGTATATGGTTGTAGAAAGTATAATTGAATTTCATTAACATTTGCTCACCAGAACCGTATCAGAGGACTGTATTTTCCGTTCTTAACAAAGAATGATTCATTAACTGTGATTGTAGGCTTTGTCATTGCTGGAGTATCGCATCCAAAATGAGTACTTGGCTGGCCATCTTCCCACACAGTTAAAAGGACTTGATGCAGCCCTTTGTGGTGGAATACCATTTGGTGTTGTAACAGAATTGGTTGGTCCTGCTGGGATTGGCAAAACTCAGGTAATTCAATAATGATATTGACTTCCATGTCTCTATGCGTTTATTTAATATATTATTGACAACTAATTTTCTCAAAGTTTTTGAATTATAAGATGGGGCTTATTTTCTTGGGAATAATAATTTGTTCAGTTTGATCAGACTAATCCCATGGCGCCTCACCAGGAAAATGTTATGTAAACTGTATTTCTCATATTGGCTGAAGTTTGGCAAAATTATGTTTTTAAGGGTCACAGTTTGCAAATGATCATCATGCTTGTTCCCTCAGACAACTGATTGATCTAGACCAATTCATACTCTGCAATTCCAGAGTGTCTGATACCATTATTTTCAAAGTTATTACTTCAAAATATGAAAGTTGCCAACTGGTCGAGTTAATACAATTGGTTTTGCCAAGATAACAAAATGACTTCTAATTCATTCTGAAGCATGAAAATTTGTTTTGAATTAACTAATTGTAGAATTTAACTTTTGTGCTCGTCTTCTGTATCAGTTGGTCTCTCGTGTGTCCTATCCGTGGTGATGAGGTTTCTTATCTGTTGAGCTGATTCACTTTTATTGTTTGCACCTATAGTTTTGCCTGAAGCTTGCATTACTCGCTTCCTTGCCTTCTACATACGGAGGCTTAGATGGCTCTGTGATATATATTGATGTGGAATCCAAATTTAGTTCAAAAAGGTACCTGTTGATCCTGCTGTACTAATTTCACTGCTTCATTACGAATAAATTTCCTGAATCTTATAGTCGCACTCTGCCTTTCTTTTCAGAATGATAGAAATGGGGTTTAAGAGTTTCCCAGAAATACTTCACATGGAAGGAATGGCAAAAGAGGTAAGCATGTTTAGCGTTCTGAACTGTCTTTCTAAATTCTCTCCTTGATGCTTGTGATGGGTATGAGATGATATGAATGTTTCGGCTCTTTTATGGTGGCACAAGATAACTAAGAAACGGGTTTGTCTATGTATTATGTTAAGGGCAATTAGTTTAGTCAGATTGAGAATCAGAATATCAATTTAGCCCTTGTTTGAGCCCCATTTTTGTCATAAAAATGCATTTTTGAATAGTGTAATGATGGGAAATGTGTGGTTAAAAAATAAGGAAAAGTTTTGGATTTACGTGTAATATTATTTTATTGAAGAATGTGGTTGAAATGATGTTAAAATGCTATTTAAAAATGCATTTTTTTCTAAAGAATGGGGCTCAAACAAGGGCTTAAAGTTTTACATGCTCATATCCTATGTCGGCTGGGAACATGACTGATAATTTTTATACCAACAACTTTTGTTAGCTTATTAATTCCCAAAATGGGCAGCGCGATTGGGAGGACCAAAATACAGAGGCCATCGGTTTGGGACCAATCCTGGTTTTCCCCATCCCTTTCTATTTTTGCAGGAATAAACGAAGATTGTATTTGCTTTTCCTCTATTTTCTTTTTGCCCTCCGAAGAAACAGTAACAAAGAAGGGAAGTTAAGCAGCTTTTTAAGACATGAAAGACTTGGTTTAAAAAAATGCCATATAGTGATACATTCCTTTCAAAAGATCCATCTTGTAGGAAATGCGTTTTATATAAGTTTTTGTTCATGTTTCAGATGGCAGGTAGGATCCTAGTTCTGCAGCCAGCATCATTAACTGAATTCACTGAAAGGTGCGGAATGGTATCATCTTTTATGTTTTTTTCCTGAGTACAGGTTGAACTATCTAGATAATTGGGAGGGCAAAAGAAAATGGTTGGATGCACTAGTGGATTATCTGGAGAGAGCATAATGCATGAAGATGACTCCACCCGAGTCTGTTTTGTTCCCTTCAATACTTGGACTACAACTCTCACATGGATAATATACATCTATTATCTATAACTTTGACCATATACATATAAAATGACATCAACTGGTAGGAAAGATTCAAGGTTTGTGTAAAATTTATATTCCTTGGTAATTGAAACCGAGATCAGTGTATTGGGCCATGCTATCCAGAATTTATTATTGTTAATAATCTCAGTATAGTAGGTTACCCTGAACGTGATATAGTATTTTTCTCAGTACTTTTGAGTGAATGATATGAAAGTATTGGTTTTCTAACTCACGCACATCTATCTGAGTATTTCTTTCCTCATAAGCTAAGGTTCTTAAAATTCTCTTCCCAAGAGTCATTTTAATTGGGCTAAACAGCCAACTAGTAGGTTTCTGAATCGGCATTGTACACCAAGATTCAAGGCTTGTGGTGCCATGGAATTAATTGTCATCTGTGAGATCCCACTAGGACGAGAAGGGGATACAGTTTTATAGGTATGGCTTAGGAATTCTATGCAACTGGTTGGTATCCTTTTGGACAATGGCTGTAGACCAACTATGTATTGCAGCTGCTGTTTCTATGGATCAGGTCACCTTTCAAGCGTTTTCCTCAATCTTGGGCATGACATTTGGATTAATTAACTATTGGTTATTTAGGGTTCAGATATCCCGTAATAAAGGCAGAAAAAGAATGAAGATAAAATTGGAGCTTTATCACATTCTTCGCTACGGCTTGAACAGATTCTTGTAAATGTTCTTCACTTGTCATGGGTCTCCTTTTTTTATTATACAATATCTTTTAAACCAGCTTGCAGCAGCTCAAGGTTTCAATCCTCCAACATCCTGTAAAGCTTCTCATAATCGATAGCATGGCAGCTCTTATTTCCGGGTGATTTCCTTATCTTCTGTTTCAATGTACGTTAACAACTCAGTGAAAAAATTTCTTGCATAGTCTCCTCTTACAGGCTCTGTTTGACCCACATTCTTTTAAAAAAATACATTCTTAAACAGTGATTTGACATCATTTCAACCATATATTCTTCAATAAAATAATATTACACGTAAATCTAAAACTTTTCCTTATTTTTTAATTATACATTTCCCATCAATATACTATTCAAAAATACATTCTTATGGAAATAATGTGGCTCAAACAAGGGCACAATCTAGAGCTTTCTTCCCATTTTAAACACAAATGACGATGTATCATCTTCCTAATTTTTTACTTTTTTTCCTCCTTCCAGTGAGAATGGGCAGGGACCTCCTAGACAGCATGCTTTAGGGTGGCACATCTCATTTATCAAGTGAGATTTTGTGGAAATGTTAATCCTTATTGTTTTCTCATTTCCCCAGTTCAAATTTGTTTAAAGCTGATATTCTTTCTTTTCACATTCAGATCACTTGCAGAATTTTCTCGAATTCCTGTGGTAGTGACTAACCAAGTACGATCTCAAGGCCGTGATGAAGCTTCCAGATATTCATTCCAAGGTATCATTTCTAAAATATGTTATAGAAATTCTCTCTTAACAACTATAATATTAGGTCCTGTGCAGTTCAGAACAGAACTAAATTTCCAGAAGATCTGTCGAGCTTTGATTCACATCTTGTTGCTGCTCTGGGGATTCAGTGGGCTCATGCTGTTTCGATTCGTCTTGTGCTCGAATCTAGATCGGGTATTATTGAACTTTACTTCGGATGTAACATCTTTGAAGTTTATGCTGCAGGATCTTATGCCAAGTTGTGCTTTGTAGGAGTAATTAGTTATGCATTTGTTTACATTATTCTATCTGGAAATGAATTTTCCCTGAATGCATTTGCGTACTTATTTCATCGTAGCTTCATCTCATCCTATGTTCTCTCTCTCATTCGGTTAATGATTTATTGTAAATTATGTAGGTTTTATTATAGAAGTAGGAGCAGTTTTAGTAGTGATTTTTATTTTCTTGTACTATTTCAGTATTTACATCCCTGTACTAATTCGTTAGAATAAGTGTGAACTTGTCTCTCATTTGATTTTGGCCTTCTATCATCACATTCCATGTTATCCACCATATAACTAGAAGGGAACTCCAGATATTGAAAAATGTGTACGCTGAATACTAATTATGTTTTTATTTTCTTTCTTCCTACCAAAGTATCAAACACATCACAAGGAGGATGGAGTGTGTTAGAATTTTGACACATTGGCTGGTTGGAAAGTTGTCAGGAGAAAAGTTTCCATGTCGTTCAAAAGTGCCTTATTTTAATCCTAACACTATGTTTTTAAAGGCATGGAAGGGTGGAGGGGTTAAGTAGACTTCGATTTATAATATTGGAAGAAAATTAGAGCATTTGTCGAATTGAATTTAAATAGGCATGACCTTAAAAATATTTACTAACAAAGCTCAGACTCATAAGCTCTATCACGACACAAATTTATATACTTAATAAATTCAAGTTCTTGATTTTATTTTGTAAATGCTAATACTCATGCCTAGGGTGATGTGATTTACACAAAAAATCTGTGATTAGAATAAAGAGAATACACGTACTATATTTTCTTTACAGTTTAGCGTGTAAGGAAAAGAAACTAGATCTTTCAAAGGCTACTATCTATTGTGTGCATATTCTAGATCCCTAGACAGAGTTGCAAAGTTTGTTCATTTATTCTGGATTTTTTTTTTCTTTTGTAATTTGTAAATTATGATGATGATAATAATTCTTGTTTCTTACAGGACAGAGGTTTATAAAGATATCAAAATCTTCAATATCTCCACCTATGGCATTCCTTTTCAACATAACTGCATCTGGTATTTTCTTGCTTGATGATGACGGAGTGGAAATGATGGGGCCGGAAATAAATGCAATACACTGTCAAGGTTTGGTATTATTTTTTTCTTCGATCTTGCAAATTCTTGATAGCTATGATGTTCGGACTCGGGTACGGGTATCGGGTATGGGTACATATCTAGGTGTCAGATCTTTTATTTTCTAAAATATAGGATATGGGGACATGGTTAAAAAGAGTTAAATTTTCGGACACGGGTACGTGAATACGTCTTTCAAGGTTCAATTTTTTTACTAATTCAAGAAGTCATTTTGAATAAATCAAAATCAATTATTCACAAAGAAGGAAATGGATATTGAATAAGGAGTTGAGAAAAATAAAATAGAATTTTGGGATTTAGTTTTCAGTTATAGACATTATTAAATGTTATATAAATAGCAAATAAGGGACTTGATTATAATTTGGATTTAGTGGAGAACTAATTAGAAAAACGGGAAAGAAGAAAAGGAAAGAAAAAAAAAGAAAGAAGAAAAGCAAAAACAACGAAGTGTCCGATTAAAATTCGAAGGATTCGACACATATCTCATACTCATACCCATACCCATACCTATGTCGTGTCGTGTCCGACACGGGTACTCCAACTATTTTGAAGAGTCTGAGTATCAGAACTTGATAGTGACTAAGAGCAAAATAATGTTGAAGACGTAATTTATATACATAAATTTGGCCACACTATGTAAGATTATTTTTTATCTAATTTTTATTTTTTTATTATTATTATTTTTTTTAAACGAGGTAGATCAAGATCATATGTAGCACACTGGTCTTGAGTTTAAGTGTCATCATCACCTATTTATGAAAATTGTGCACGTGTCAAGTATTTGATAAAAATTGAATCTGATGTGCACGTGGAGGTGTTTTGAAGACATAATCTAAATAAATAAACTTATCTACTCTCTAATAATTTGAGCTTTTAGATGAAGTGTTTCACCGAATACTAAAACTCCATCCATGCAGATTCCCTATAATGACTAGTGTGTATATATATATTATGAATTACCTGGTAAGGACTCCCACAAGTGTCGTCATTCTAAGTAGAAACTTATGTTTTTTGGATGTAAATTTGGTGAAAGGATATATTGAACTCAGTTTCGCCAGCACTCAAGTAACCCCTCCATGCTCTTTTTATCATACTTTTTGAAGGAATATAAGATGTTCTTTCCTGCTGCAGCAATCATTAAATATTATATGCTTAATGCAGGTCATAGTGGCACAGTTAATTTCGATACCTAGATAACATGGTGAGGGACCTGGGCTGAAAGCTGGATAGTTTAAGGCATGTACCATGATCTTTTCTTTTCTTTCAGTTGTAGATTTTTTATTATAAAATTTTTCACCTTATATCTACAATCATGTTTTTCTTATTTCTTATTTCTTATTTCTACATGGAGTGTTCTTTCTTTGAGGTTGGATTTTATTACTTGTATATCCATTCACTCTTAACAACTTCAGGGTTAGAATGATCGATCATTGAACTTGTCGAAGTGTAGTTAATTTGGTTATCATATTCTTGTTCCTGACCGCTGTTCAATGTTGGTACATTAAATTTTACTACTATAGTCAGTCAAATAGGTTTTCATAATTTTCAAAATTTGCCTGAGAATGTATGATTTCTATTTTGCACATCCAATTTATGGTCTGATACAACATATGTTGACAATGATATGGTTAGACTTGTTGGTTTGTGTGTCCATATAGTATATTTTGCTATGATAAAAATAATTATTTATAATTAATAAGTTTGTGGTTTTATTTATTTATTGCATCATTTATTATTGAACATGTGAATTAAAGTGCCTATGATCACTTGAGATAATATAAGTTTGGTACTTGTGTTGAGAAATACAGTGTGGCACAACTTATATTTTGATCATAAATAATTTGTTCACGACCAATGTATAAGGGTTGACACTTTGGATTAGAAGGTAGTAGTGTTGACTGATCTACTATTCAGGTTTGTGATTTGTTTGTATTATAGAAATAGTTAAAGGTGATACTAGTACACTTGGAGTGTATTGAATGTACCACGTGTTGAGTTTAATTCTATAGTGTAATTGTGTGGAGAATTAAATTACACTAAACTGCTGTGTATTTCATCTAAATTTCTTTACATGATTATGTATATCTTTTCGTGATTTTAATGGTTTTTTTATTCATCAATTGGTGAAATCTATTTGATTAGTCAAATATCTTGATGAGTCGAGAACTTGAGCGAAGTAGAGAACATGAATTTGCGTCGGGAATCGTCACCCTGAAAAATGGGTAGAGTGACTAAAGTTTTTTCTGTTGGATGGTTAAATTTTGAGCTCAGTGTTTAGCAATAGCTAAATTTTGACATCTGTGATTAGTTTATAGGATCGTTGAAGAAAATAAAGTTGAAGCTAGTGAGAATAATTAGAAGGGCAAAACAATCATTTATGATTGTATCTAATTATCGGATCTCGGACGGGAATAAAATACATATATGATAGATCAGAGGAAAGTATTACAGATTTATTGACTTTTGTGATCTTATATATTCTAAGAGTTCAGTTTTTTATCTTTAGTGGAAAAGACAAAAACTAATAATTAGATTGAGTGATTTAGGGTCGACTAGACAGGATCTGATTATTGGAGCTTAGATAATATATGTCCGATTATGTTCCTGTGGTAGCTGTATAAAGTATTGGAACTTAATTATGGTAAAAATAATAGTTTTGAACTTAATTGTAATTACAATAAAATTTTGTACTTAGTTGTAATTACCATGAAAGTTGTAAACTTAATTATAATTGTAGTTGAAATTATAGGACTACACATGTAATTGAATGTAAATTAATTGAATTTGGACTTTAATTAAAACTTCTACTTGGACTTTAATTAGAACTCGTATTTTAATGTACATGGATTGTAACATCTTTAAATTTGGAGAGAGAAAAAATTATCTTTCTTGGTTTTATCAACTGTCCAGTTCAAGAACGGGTTTATTGATTTAATTAAAAGAAGGTGCTCACTCATCGGTGTAGTCTTGACTTTGGAGAATTTCATAGAAGATTTGGAGGTTTGAATTATTAAGTTCTTGAAATTAAAAAGCTAGAAGTTCATGATTCAAAAAGCTGAAAGTTCGTGATTCAAAATTTATTGAAGATTTGACCAACGAATTTAGGTAAAAATATACGTGAATATTTAGACGATATTGTTTATTGAATTAAAGATTTTTTTAAAATTTTTTTTTAGATAATTCCGCTTCCGCGTTCAAATAAAACTCATGTCTACATCAAAGTTAGTCTCAAACGAATGTTTTGCATCTTTAAGACGCACTTTCTTTTAGAAACATGAGTTTGAACTATTGATCATGCATATGAGTTATGTTTCTTTTTGTCAAGAATGAATCGATACCATGTAAGCAGGTTCTCAGCTTTTGTGCTGCTGGTTCAGGCCTTGGCTAGCAGATTTTATTTTTGTAGTCAAATTTGACGGGGATTTAGACCATAGTAGAATTTTTCGCCCTGTGAAGGACTATTTTCTTTGCCTGTGGTAAGGGAATATATGTCGTCTCTACGATGAGAGGACGTAACAAATAGAAATGGTGCGTTATGAGTTTATTTTTGGCACACAGAGATTCTATGTGAATACTGAATCAAATAATTATAATTATCTAGTAGTTGCTTATGATTTCACATACTTTCAACTCCAAGCATAATAGATTTTGAGACAGGATGTTATTGGAGATTAGCTTAATTACTTCAAGTGGCTTTAGTGTAAAGTGAAATGAGAAGCCACTAAGCTGGTGGATTGTGACTCTTTCCCTATTGGACAACTCTAGTTAATTGATTTGACCGTTCATGGATCCGAGAACTTGCAAAATCCATTCGTGGCTCGTCTATAGTACTCGACATTATTGAATAAGAGCAAGAAGCGTACTAAACGTTCATTAATAACATAGGCACTAAATTTAAGGAACAATCTACTCAGGAAACTATTAGGATCCGTTTGATTACAAAGATGGAATTGAGTTGAATTGAAAACGAATTTTAGAGAATTAAATTGTCTAGAAATTATTTTCCTGGTAATTATAAATTATTGTGTTTGATTGGTATAATTTTTCACGTGGAAAATGTTGTAATAAAATTATTTTTTAGTGTTTGTTTGGTTTTGTTTTACATGAAAATTGTCCATTAACGGGATAGAATTTAGTGGTATTGAGGATGAAATTTATTTCAATTGTCAACCAAAAAAATCAAGAAAATCATCTATCTTTTGGTATTCTTTTGGCTTTGTTTTACATGAAAATTGTTAGTTAAAGGAAATTTTTTTTTTACAATAATTCTTAAAATTTGTTTTCATTGCCAACATAAAAAAAAAATTGAAAAAAAATGCAACAATAACCCGAAAAACGAATTCTCACCAATATGGTGAGAATTCGAATTCAAGAAAAAGTTAGAAAATGCTGACGTGGCGGCCAAAGGTGGAAAACGAATTCCTTAGAAAATTTTGTCAATCAAACAAGTCAAAAGTAGAAGTTGGAATTTGTTTTCCATTTTCCCTAGAAAATAAGTGACTATCAAATGTAGTCTTAGAGTATTTGCATGCACTTAAATAAGTGGCTATCAAACATAGCCTTACTTTTTATGTAATTTAGTCAGATTCTTGAAACAGGAACATCTTCATAAGCAGTTGATCGATTTTGAATATATTTTCTTCTCTGTGAGAATCATGTGAACTCTCTTCCTTGTTTCCTCTTAGTTTTCATCTACTACGAAGAAACATACAAGCGCAGTAATTGGTCCAACGAGAACTTCGGCTTCGAGCAAAGGAAAATAAAATAATAAATTCCAGGTCATGTGGACATCTGTCCGAGGATTTTTAGCCTTCACGATAATTGTCTAAATTAAGCAAGTTTTTTTATTAAATGGATTTTGTTCGATGATCGTCGTTCTAACCTAGCCTCCATTCTATAGGACCAACTAGGTGTGGTATATAAACTATGCATTACATTCATCGTAAGCCTAAGCTCACCCTTCGTGGATGAACCTGAAACCTTGCAAAGGAACCCTTAATTTTTTGAGACATTGTATTTGTTGGAATTTTTTTTTTATCGAAAATTGGTTGTGACCAATTTTAGATGATTATTTAAGGGGAATTCATTATTTGGTAAATGAGAAATTAAGCCAAATGTAAACCACTTAAATACTGAAAATTATTGAAAAATCTTATAGAATATTGTGGAATATTTTAGAAATATATGGAGAAAAAAAATGTGGCTTTTCGTATGAAAGATCATGACTCTTGGTCTGGGTATGATTAATGTCCAATAATAATGAATTCCAAGAGATGTGTCTCTTGGTATAGTTGTGTCTTTTGACATACCTTTCCAACTACTGTAAATATAGACCTCGCGTGTTTGAATTTTATTCATTCAAGAAAAGTCATAGATACCATATCATTTCATTCCAATTTATACTTTGATTTTGCATAAAACATTTGCATCAAAGTCATGGTCATGGTCACGGTAGGGAGGGAATTCCGTTTGAGTTCGCTGGTCGAAGTCATTTGGAGTGCTTCTATGGCTCAACGTGGTCGTTGTATCTTGGGAGATGATTGCCAGATAACCTTTAGCATCAATGTAGGGAAAATTCATTTTAAGGACAAAGTGTCCAACACTTGCCTCGACCAAAAATTCGTCATTTACATCTTCTTTCTTCATTTTCTGATTCCTTTTATTATGATTTGATTTTAGAAAATGATTAACGTTATTTATATGTTTATCCTGCAAGGTTTGATCCAAATAATTATTTGCTTTCGATCATGAGTTGAAAGGGAAGAATCCATATTCAGGTATTCGGATTCGATAAATTCTTATTTTGTCTTCTCAAAGCCTATCTCTATAAGTTGAAATTGCGTTTTGATTTCACACAAATAAACTAAATGATTTTGTAAATATAATATGTATAATATCGGTGTAATTTTTCAATAATTTTAAGATGAATTCTATATTTTTGTGCATCCTATATTCATGTTCAAAAAATTTTCATTTGCCGAAATTGGAAATTTATCTCTAGCACCTTCTTCGTCGTATGAGTGTCTGTCCAATGTCAAAAGATGTTTGGGCCAAAAGGTTAATTGCAGCTTGTGAATGAGTTCATTGGTTGATCATGAGGTGCATATATATATATATTCTTTGGATTAAAAAACTGTACCAAAATTTTAAATCAAAATTAATTTGGGTAAGAATCAGTTTCTGCCGACTCATGTGAACACTAGAATATCTTGCTAAATTATTATGGAATAGTGTGTCTGTTCGCGTTTAAGTTTCTTTAATCGCCTCGATTTCACAATGGAATGATTTTGTACGTGCTTAAGATGACAAATTGTGAATTTAGTGGTGTCTTGTTACATTTTATATGATACTTTAGGTGATATTAAATATCTCAATAATTTCCTTTCCGTCAAAATAACATTGAATATGTTCTAATTGGAAAGAATTTGTATGTTTTGCCAATTG